ATGAAGCATATTGATTTAATTAATATAGTACACGCATGAAAAATATATAATATAGATATGTATATATGTATGTGATTATATAAGAAGTATGCGTTGTATCATATCATACATAATTAGCAAACTAGTTAATATCAAAAATAAATTTTCTCAAATTTGAAAAAATATACAAAAATCTGCTTAATACTTCGAAAAAAAATTTGCACTATTTTTTTATCTCTTGCAGTATACCATTTATTGATTTTTAAAAACCAGGAATATGTAAATACACACATACATATAAGTAAAATTTTTGACGTTGCCAGAAAGTAACTCATTTATTATACCCTGCACCTGGATATAATAACTGAGTTTTTTTTTAAATCATTTTTTTAATGTTTTAATCATAGATCTTATTAGATATATGTGGATAGTTAGCGCTCACATATTTCTTTTTACTTTGTCTTGTTTTTAGTGCAACCATATTGTAGGCTACTTTAAGTTTTAATTTAAATTTTCGTTTTCGTAAAAGCGAAAAATATTTAAGGCTAGATTTTTTCGAAGAAAAATTTTCTGAAAAAATTAAATTTTAATTTTTGATAAAATCATGAAGTTGAATCGTAAACATAAATTTATGCTTATGAAAATATGTTAGGAAACATTTTTGATAATTTGTGCCGTCGATTTGGATAATGATATTTTAGATAATCACAGATTAAGTTTAATAAGTATTACAGCATCTGAGTATGTTAAAATTGTCTTTATTATGAAGGAAAACGCTTAATTTTAGATTTAAGAAGAAAAATATTCGCCAACATCTAACAAAGGCTTTTTTGTTTTTTTTTTTCGGTCACTTATTTAATGTACAATGCACAAAAGCAATAATACACAGAAATATTAAGTAAACGTCATTATTGTTTTAATTTTAAACTAATAATTCTAGTATGTCTAAAATTAAAATATATATGTATGTATATGCATTGTCGAAAAATTATAAACTTTTTATTGAAAAAAATAACTCACATAAATTTCTAACTATATTCATATTTCCTGGGAGACAAAGGTTGGTATGCCTAATATACTAAAGAGTAATACTCTAAAAAATTGACTAAAACTCTCATAAAACTCTCATACCACACTACACAATCTCATAATTTTTTTTTCTTTTTTTTTGTTTTTATGCAACTCTCGTAAGGTACTTATAATAAAGACTAAGCACTCGTAGTGTTAAAAATTCTGCTACTCTCATAGCAAAACTACTTTCAGCAAGCCATAAAAAATTTTAATTTTCATAAAGTATTTTTTATAAGGTATAATATATTATATAGAATTTTGTTCTTAGAAGATTTCCTTTAGAAGTCTAGTTGTTAGGCACGGTGATTTTAGTATTGTCATTATTCCTTATCTAAATTTTAACCCTATTGAAGTTAAATTTTAACCCTATTGATACTAAGGATTCTTTTTTTTGGAAAGAAGTCCGAAAAATATTTATTGTACAGAAATTATTAAATTATAGTAAAAGAAATGCAAAATTATAGTTTTATTTGTATAAATAAAGCTTTATTTGAAAATTATGCACATAAGTATATTTATTTTTTGCTTAACAATTTTTAAATTTTAAAATTTATGTAAAAAAAAAGAAATAAGATACTATAGGATTAAAAATATGTATAAAAATTTTTTAAATTTTAATTATTTTTAGTTGGCGTTGCTTTTTTTCGAAGTACAATGTCAACTTTTATCAATAAAATTTTAATGCCAGCAATTTTTTGATTTATAAACATGGGAAAAAATTATTTTAATTTCCCATATTTATAATTTTATAATATTAAATTTTTGAATACAAATATTTATTGATTACATATCATATAAGTAAACATACACATGTATGTATATTTTGTTTCATTTTTGTTAAAAAAATAATTATTAAAAGTGGAATAGATATATGTTTTATAAAGCAAGGCCGATAAAGAAGAACTTTTGTTCTTTTAAAGATCGCATTAGGATCTTTTACTGTTTTACAAGACTAAAATTATAAGAGTAATATTCTTAAAGAATTCCTAATAAAGCTCTCCAAGAGTCTTATGAGATAAAAATTGTAACTTGGGTGGGTCTCAGTCAGTTCACATTTCTAACATGTGATTTACACTACACCTTAATGCACCTAACTAATCGAGGTGTACTGTAAATCTATCTAATATCTTATAAAATAATCATCTATTGTAAATCTTATAAAATAACCATCAATTTTGCAATCTATTAATAAAAATTGAGCAAAATTAGAATTTTCAATAATTATGGTTATTGGTGATACCATATCAGTTTTTTTTCAAGAGTTTGCAATATTTTCTTCAATGTCAAAATTGTTATCAATTAAATTAGAATTTTTACTAATTTTGGGATTCCGATTTTCATGATTTTATTTTTCGGCATTTTCAAGTCACAATCAAGATCTTCAATGTTGATTGCAAAATATTATACGCCTAGATAGAATTTTATTAACTGTGGGTTTGTGTTATTTATTGTTAATTGTTTGCAATTTAGTAAATTTTTTAATTGTAAGTTTGTGTAATCAATTAAATCCTTTAATCTTAGTTTAATTCTATACGAGTAAGAAATTAAAATTAAAAATCAAAATTTTATATTCATACACACGTTCCTCACACATTCCTCTCTCATTAGTTGTACACATGGTATAATTAAACTAACAGGCTTTTTTGCTTATTTTTTTTGACAGGAAAAGTCCGGTACTTTTTTTTCCAAAACGGCAGCTCGAAAACGAGTATATCTGCACCCCGTCATAAATACAATTTTTTTGCTAGAAATTGATCAAAGAATCATCTCTGAAATTATTTGCCACCTGATACAAAACACCTTGTATATTTACGACTAAGCACATAGCTAGACCCCTCTTTAGGAATGTAACGATTAGATGGCTAAATTTTAAAATCAAAAAACTAATACAACAAAATGTAATTATTCTGTATGTGTAATAATACAAAAGTTTTTGGCAACCAACTTTAAAGCTTTCTTAAATGACTTTGAAAGTTTAATTTAGAAATTTTTAAAATAGTCAATTTACTTTATTTTTCATAACACAAATTGATTCTTTCAAAGAATTTAATGAAATTTTCAAAATTTAATATGTTTTTTTTTGTTGCGAATATCTTAAAAACATTCATGTTACACAATTATTAGTAAAAATTGTATAATTCATGATTTTATTAGAAAATGTAATGAACTGAAATAGTACAAACGGAACAACTAGATTTGTCTGATAGTACAAATTGAACAACTAAATTTTTCAAATTTTGATTATTGAAAAAAACAAAGATGTTTATATTTTTTTTAAATCATATTAAATTCATATTTAATATGATTTTATGAAAGTATGATTTGAAAAAAGGTTTGTTGATATAATTCTATCGAAGTTCATAATTGTTATAAATATGTGCGTATTATTCATATATGTAGTATATAATCTCGAAATCATCTGTCATAAAGAACATAAGTTGCAACAATGTTTAGTTAACATTTGCAACACGAAATTTCATATTTTCTTTTATATTTTTTTTTTCAAAATTCTTTTTAAACAAGTCCAAGTTTTTTTTAATTTGACACTTTTCACAAATTTGAACCATAAAGATAAAATTACACAGAAAAGGATGTCATAAAATTCAACACTACATACCATCGCAATACTTATAGACGGTGCTACAGAAACATGTCAGCAGCATTTATACACTGTAACATTTTATGACTAGTTTTTGATTTCACCGAAAACATTATCAAGTTTATAATATATCGATATATTATTATAATTTCCACACACATATATATATAACTATTACATAATTTACAAAATGTACCTACAAAATGTAGATTTATTCTATCATATTTACATACCACAAATTACATGAATATTACTAGACAAAAATTAAATAGTTGAGCATAAATACGTTATGTATTTACATATGGGAAATTTTGTAGATATTTTTTATATTTAAAATAAAAGTAAAACTATTGTGTGTAGCTAAAACACCAAATATTTTTAATTATTAATTATGTACGGTTTCTTACACTGAAATTTTCTAAAGGTTTTTAGGCCTATGTAGAGATTTGAACAATTATCTTTTATGTATTTTACCATTAAACAGCACTGAAAAGACATTAAGAGCTAAGCGATTGAAGAAGCAATTTTTTTACCGAGCGCATTGCATACAATAAGGAAGGTTATGTAACAATTTACCAATTTTCATATTTAACATTACTAAAGTTAAGGATACATTAACTAAGGTTACTTTTCAACTTTCTTAGAATTTTAAATAAATATTTAAATGAAATATTCATAATCTTGTTTCTCTTCTGTACCACAAGTTGTAGAAGTCTAAAACTTTAACTGCTTTTAGACACTAATAAGTAGTTCATTTCATTAAAAGAGAATTCTTCCATCTCCACTCCCTCTCAAGTTATAGCCTCTGCAAATTTGTAAAATTTGAATATTTGGCACGATATATTTTCGAAGCAAATTTCTGTAAACGCAGAAAGCTAATGGTAAATTCCTTGCCATTAAAAAATATAATTATTTTTCTTAACTCACACAATTAACTTTTAAAATCGAGCATTATGTTAACCCCTCTTTAAATTTATTTTTGCTTTATTTTAAAGGCTCCATAAATCGTTCATCCTAAATATATGCAACCCTAGAAGTAGTTTCTTATATGAATGAAAATAATTATTAGGGTAGTAGGTATACATACATAGATTGTTTCTAAAAGCATATGTTGTTTTATTTTCCATTCGTACATTTTTTATTTCCTTGAGAAAAATTTCGCACTCTGAATTTATACAGTTTTTGATCTGGCAGAGAAAAGGGAACTCATGGTTACATAAGTCTAAACTTATCAAAATCTAATTGTCAAGATATAAATGATTTTTATTTAACGGAACGTACTAATTTTGCATGTATCAAATTTTTTTTCTTTTAATTAAATTAACTAATATCGAATACTTTTTAATTACAGATTATTATAGTGCTTTTCTTTTAATTTGAAAAAAAGTGAAAAGGCCTAAATTTAGCAATAAAAATGAAAGTTTCATTAAAAACTGGCTTTATGGTATTAATTATTACTTTTGCTGTTTTGAAGTCAAATGATTGCAGGTACTTACCAACTAGATCGGAAGCAAGCAAGTTGGACAAGTTACGGGAACTGATGATTGATGTAAGTTAACTGTTTTTTGTTTTAATTATAAATCATATCAATATTAAAATATGTTTGTTAAAAATTTATTATTACAATCATAATCGGAGTAATCACAATCTCATTCAGTTATCATAAAATTTACTCTAAAAAGTTATAACTATTAGCGTTACTTTAAAAGTTTTATAGATGTAATTAGATAACCTTTTTACTGACCATATTGCGTATACAATAGGTAGTTTATGTGATGGCACTTCTCTATGGTAGTGAAGTGTAACTAAACTATTTTTAGCAACCTGTTGGTTTGTCAGTCTGTCGGTCTGTGTGTGCTTATTTCGGCCATGTCAAATCAAGAAAGATTTAATCATGTCGACCATTACATTTAATTAAAAAGGTTCGCAACACTGGTTTCAGAGAATTTGTTTTTGATTGGTTTGCGTTTTTTTTCTTACCTTTTAAACAGAAAGTTGAAATTGTAAGTAAGCACAGGACTTTATAAAACTTTTGCGTACGGCAAGGTTCTTTTTTCGATCTTTTATTTTTTTAAATATTTTATTAATGACTTATTTTTAAAGAAATTGAAGGGCGTTGTCACAGTTTTTGCGGATAACGCTACTTTTATTTATTGCTGCCAAAGTCATTTTGAATTAGTGGCACATATAAATGTTTTGTAACAGAAATAAGTTAAGAATAAGAAATAAAATAAAGAATATGAACTTCGACATTTATAGCACTAGCGCAACATAATTATAATTAATGTATTATGATCCTTTTTGTAAAAAACTCTCTCTATTACAAAATTGTTTACCTGTGGTATATATCACCAGCCAGTTTTTATTTTTATTTAATCAATTAATCAAAAAATTTGCACATTTTCTGTTGCACCATAAGTCCAAACGTTCTATATAAAAGATCCATATGTAAAATCATTATATACGTATGATTACTAGATAATGTTTTCTTACAAGCGAACCCTACATTTTGGTATAAATGAAAGGACCACATAAAAAACACTCTGCGTATTACACGTATTACATCATACATATATATATATATATATATTTATATATATTAGTTTTTTAAATAGATTATACATTTAAGACAGCAGTTCTTGCTTAACGTACAGAAAATAACAAAAACGCCAAGGCTTTTTCTTTTTTTTATACAGGGTGTCCAAGACTCAATGGTATTCCTGAAGCAGGGTGATAGAATGCATACAGACGAACAAAAAATACCTTGTGACATTTTTCTTTTTGGGCACTTGTATTCGAGTTGTGGGGCCTCAAAATGGGGACATGCAAAAACCGTCTGATTTTCACATATTTATTTATAACTCGGGAAATATGACAGGTAAATCCAACTTTGTATACTCATTTTAAAGCTAGTAAAATTCTCCTTATAACCAGTGGTTGCAAAGACTTTTTTAGTTTCAGAAAGATTCAAGTGCAAAATCAAAATTTTTAAAAAATTTTGATTCTAATTTTTTTTTTCATTTTGGAACAGCAAAAATACATGTTAATAATGCATAATACTGCGTACCCGAATTACTACTCTAAAAACCATTGAGCTGCAAAAGATCTGAAAAACTGTCACACTACCATTTATGATTTTATAAATTTTCAAAAATGTTTAGGGTTAGGAATAATGTCGTCTGAAGCTTTTTAAAAATACAAACTTATATCATAATGTGCTTTTGAGCATTATGATTTGAAATTATCGTATGCAACTTGAAAATTATTATAATAACTATTATTTAGGAAAGATATTTTATAATATTTAGCTTATGCAATCCCCTTAAAAATCATCGAAATTGATGTCATAAAACTTTCGTAGTACAAATTACTCAAGAGAAATCGCAAGAAGCAAAGATATCATTCATAAGATTAAAGGTATAATTTAAATTTATTGTACGCTCTATGGTCCCTAAAATGCAATAGAACTTATTGCTACATATAGAATAACAACATATAGGACAGAACATGCTATCATTCTTGGCACTTGCTTTCTTGATGGTAAAAATGGATTAACAAAGATTTGGAATGGAATATTCGAAAAGATCGCCGCAATACTCGAAAGAACTGTATAAACACGCCCATATAAGTACTCCCACGAACAAAGTTAGGAGTGTATTTTTAGAAAGTGTACCCTCACTCCCTAAAATAAGTACACTCACAGAAAAAGTTTGGAGTGTGTTTTGTTGGTAGTTTTGAGTGTATTTTTATTTTCGGTGTATTTCGATGTTACGAGTCTACCAAAATCTGAACAAAATCCAGACGCTTTTTGTCCAGAATGGGCAGTGTCTTGGACAGCGTCTGATCACAGACGAACGGCAGTAGCAAAAGCTAGTTTAGAACAGCATGAATATTTATATATTATATATAAAGTGAAATGTCCAATAATAAGATTATAAATGCGATAGGGATATCTATCAAAATATCAGCGCAGACGCAGCTATCGAACTACGTTCAAGCATTTCTGAAAACTTGTGTAAAGATATAAAAAATTAATTCTGGGTACTCCAAATTTTTTTTTGCCCATCTGCACGCTCCAACATAGCACATTTGCCATTGCAATGAGAACAACAAAAGGAAAAACAAATAAGAACAGAATTACGTATAAAGAAACTGATTGGGTTTTAAGAAAATATAATATAACTAGAAGCCCTTAGTGCAAATCGCACTAATTTCAAATATTTTTGGAAACAAATTTTTAAAAACAATTCTAAAAGACTTCGTAGAGTTCGTACTCAATTGTGGTGACTTACTTTAAGTCGCTATATCACAGCGATAATCCTACAATTTAGAGAAATCCTGTATATGTATAAGTAAAAGAGCTACATATATAAAATTGTAGCCTTTTTTTCGGAAAAAACAAATTTACCTCAGCGTTACTTATAGTTGCGTTAGTTATTCGCATGGCATTCAGCAACGATTCAACACATATAGGTTTTATGTTGACCATTTTTTGCATTTTAGATTTGCTCAGTGGTAATACACTGAGACTCAACGTGTTAAAATATGAATGCATATACGTTAGTAATTCATTTAATATAAGAAGGAAAACTAAAACTTAGATAAGGCTTGTCGCAAAATATAAAAAATTATATCCATATGCCCGCAGTGCTTATTGTAGTCAATCAATAAGTAATGCTTTGAAATGAACATGAACTTAAGCTTCAAAATAAAAATACAAAGTTCACCCCTCTATGCATTGTCGGTTTGCTCTAGCATCCGTACCATGAGGTATACTTTTTTTATAAATTCATATTGAAATGAAGCTAAATATACAGATGTCTTGTACACATTAGGTTCTACATAAACTTAACATATTAACTAACATAATATGTTATAATACTCTTCGCAAGCATTATGTTGATTTACATCAAAAAATAATCTGATGCGAACACTAAAAACACTTAGCTAAAATATTGCATGAGACTACGAAAATGCCTTTTAAATACTCCTCACAAATTTTAGCTAGGCTAGTACGCTTTTAGTTAACATACCTAGAAAAATATAAATTCATCTCTTATCAGAGGCTAAATGTATGCTAACCATTTGGTCCCTGAAAAATTCCTTACTTAATTTTGGCAGCAAATGCAAATGAGGCATAGTATGTTGATTAGAATTGACGAGATCTCTAAAAGATTATTAAAAATAGAAAATGCATACACTGAGGCGTATACGGGTACACCAAAGAAATTAAGAAAAGATGTACGTAAATGAGGTACGTGTAGTAAGTTGGAATGCTAATGGTGTTCTTAATAAAAAACAAGAATTGGAGGTCTTTCTCAAAACGAGAAATATAGATATTTGTTTGCTGTCGGAGGCTTAAAATAAAAGGCTATGATTGCTATAAAGCGGTACATCCCAGCAATCAGCCCAGAGGAGGTAGTGCAATACTAATAAAAGAAAGAATAGAACATAATGAAGAATTCAAGATAGAAACGGCTGAAATTCAGCTCATTTCGATAAAAATTAAATCGACTAAACAGGACTTTGTGTTGGTGCTGTATACTGTCCACCAAATTGCAGCATTAAGAAAAATACTTTTAAAGATCTCCTGTACAAGCATGGACACAGATATCTATTAGGAGGTGACTATAATGCCAAACATACAGATTGGGGTTCTAGAATCACCTCAACTAGAGGAAGAGAGCTAAGAAAAGCTATTCAAGAGATAGGTTGTTGCTATCACTCCACTGGCACTCCTACTTATTGGCCTACTGACACTAACAAGATTCCTGATGTTATTGACTTTTTTATAACCAAAAAAATATCAGAAAACTTTCTAAGCCTTGAAGATAACTATGATTTTAATTCGGATCACTCTAATGTCATATTAAAACTAAGTGAAAAAATAACTAAAACATTATTTAGGCCCAGTTTAACAAATAGAACTAGAGATTGGGCGAGCTTTAAATACGATTATTTCGTTATTAAACAATATTGACGTAAATATTAATATACAATCAAGAGAACAATTAGATGTGGAGTTAGAAGGATTTATTAATACAAAAACTGCATGGAGCAATACAAAAATGTTAAAGTGCAAACCGACAGCAAAAGCTATCCTGGAAAAATAACTGATTTAGTAGGTGAAAAGAGAAGGGCCAGACGTAGATGGCAACGTTCGCGTCACCCTGATGATAAAATTGTTTTAAACAGACTTTCCCAGGTGCTTAAAAGAATAATAAAAGAATTTAAATCGGCAATATACGAAAATTATATAAGGAACTTGTCAGCTATGAAGGAAACGAATTATTCCTCATGGAAGGCGGCAAAGAGCAAAAAGAAACCGATTAGGCACTCACCGCCACTGATGAAAGCAAATGGCAGTTGGACGAGGAGCAATATAGAGAAGGCCGAATTGTTTGCTGATCACTTGGAAAGCATATTCACGCCAAACGGAATAACCTCAGAAGTAAGTTTGGTAGAATCTATCGCAAATGAAGCAGACAGCATAGCTCCACTTACTCAATTAGAAATTGCGGAAGAGATAAAATCCCTGAAGTCTCCCCC